TCTGATAGCCTATCCAGACCCAAAGTCACTGCATCTGATTAATTTGCCCAGATGTTAGCTGGGTAAGTAACACGGGCAGGACTGTTCCAGAGAAGTCGAGGAGATCCTGATATAGAGCAGTAAGACATCCACCAAAAGGACTTGTGCATCAAAATGGAAGAGATTCTTGATTTGGACCTCTCCATAGGGCATGGACCTTATGCAGGCTATAGTACCAAAGATCTTCAATTGCTTTCCGCATCTGAAACACTCTGGCCTTATGGTCCACCTTCCAGCAGTCTTTGCTTGCCATATGCCAGTACAGTTATGCTTGGTGTTCTCATACCTGGGGCACTGAAGTTCCTCAAGGTCCTGCTAAATACTTATCCACTAGTAAGAGAACCTTCTCTTGCCTGGAATCTCAACATTGTCCTCTTGAGATTCATGTGCATTCCCTGTGATCCTCTTCAGAATACATCTACTTCAGCTCACTCTGAAGATGGGTCACCCTTGTTGCTGTCACTTCAGCTAGGAGAGTGAGTGAGCTGACCCTCTCTACATGATATTTCATAGGGACAAAGTGATGTTCTATCCTCACCCTAAGATCATCCCCAGGATGGTCTCACAATTCCATCTCAATCAATCAATCCATTTGCCTGTCTTCTTCCCAATGCCCAATCAACACTGAGAGAAAAATTACAGATGCTGGACATTTCCAGAGCCTTACTTTACTACATGGACAGAAAAAAAATAATCAGATTGTCTCCCCATTTATTACTGGCTACAGCCAGCCATTCAAAAGGCCAGGCCACCTTATCACAGCTAATATCTAAGTGGATAACGCAACATATCTCGCTGTGTTACCAGCTGGCTGCTGTACCTCTCCCACTGAACATCAAGCTCATACCACCAGAGCTCAAGCAACATCTTCTGCCTGTATCAAAAATGTGCCAAATTCTGAAATCTGCAAGGTGGCAACACATAGTAACCCATTGACCTTTGTCAAATGTTATGCATTGGACTTAGCCACCAGGGCAGATGCCAAGTTTGGGAGAGCAGTACAACAATCACTGTTCAGCTGATGCAGCTGATAATGCTTCATCCCACCATCCAGCAAGGTTGCTACTTGCCAGTCACATATAGTGGGATCCATGCTGGCATACACTCAAAGGAGAAAGAATGGTTACTTACCCTATAGTAACTGTGGTTATTTGACCAGCCCTCCATTTCCTGCTTTCAGAGACCTCAGTGAACATGGGCTTTGAATTGCAAGGGAACTGATGGAGGATTGCGGCCGCTCCAACCTTGATGCCCTTGCATCGGAGCACGAGAAGCCATGGGGTGCTTGCAAAGCCCCAGTGGATACTGCTATTCAGTAGACTCTGATCTCATGCTCGTGAGACTCATGTGCACTTACAGTGCGATTCGCACTGACAACAACATCTCAAAGAACCACAGTTACTGTAGAGTAAGTAATCATTCTTTTCTCTGTTTTGGATAAGTTTCAAATATGGGTTTAATTGAATTATATAGTTGCTGCTCCCCTGTTTGGCTGACACCAATACACTGATGAGGGTCAGCAGAAGACACTTTGTTTTCCTGAGAGAGAGCTGTTGCTAGTATGCTTTCTATGAGCTGGGCAGATGAACATCCTGGATTTTCTTCCAGATTTTTTTTAAATTGAGCAAAAAATAATAATTTTATACCCTGGGGACTGTTGTTATTAGACCTAGAAACTGAGTTTTTGAGCATATGCCACACTTTGTTTTTATTTATTATTTGTAGTTTCACAAAGAGAAACAATTCTCTGAAAAAGATGAGACAGGTCTGCTTCCCTTTAGAATATTGCTTTGTTTAATCTGTTTATCTGTACAGTTAGGAAACTGTTGTACATTCTATTTTTTGACGTTTTCGTCTTCACATTATAGTAAGGTTTGGTATTACTGAGAGTTTAAACTCTCTGGGGCAGGAACTGTCTTTCGTTGTGGGTATACCGTGCAATGCAAATAGCAATAGGTTTCTGGGCTGCCATCTGAGTGTCTGTTCCACTGCTCCTTTGTCATTACAGACCCTTTTATCTCTGGTAGGTGATTGAGGTTTGACTCCAACTATGCTGTTGAAGAACTGCACCTTTTGCTATATTTCAGTCTGATAATGGTTGATTCTCTTTGGGAATAAAGGAGGCTTGTAAAGCCATGTTAAATCTCTGTTTGACCAAGGAGGTGTACATTTTCCTCCCTAATGCTGACCATGCAACAATTTTTCATTCATTTGTTATTTTGCTTCTATAACATTTTTGGGTGACCTTTCATCTGATTCAGATTGCAGCCTTCTGGGGCAGACTGCACTAAACATGCAATAGCCCTGCTTAGAGCTATCCACTTGTTTCCCTCTTTGTATCCTGGTAAAATTAAAGGTGTCATTGTCACTCTAAAAGCTTGGTATGGGACCTAGCTAGGATGGTCTTGCTGTCTGGTGAGCTGAACTCTCCAGGATGAGCAGCAAAGCTTCCTTAGTTGAAGGCCTTTAGCCCAGTTTGCTCAGACTTTGGAGCATGCTGTCATTTGACTTTGTAATTGATTAATTTTGCATGGCTTGTGAGTTTTTGCTTAGTTTTGGTTTATACTTCATCTTACAGCAGCAACAATAAGGTTTATGGTTCTTTGTAGATTAGGAACTAGATTAAAAGAACCTGATGCAGAGTAATGTAATTTATATCTTCATGTGCCAGTGAGGCCTCTTATGCCAAAGGAAGTATTCACTCAAAATAAATAAATAAATAAATAAATAAATAAATAAAATAATAAAAAAAAAAAGCAATGTTGCTTCTACGTGCCCTTCAGCAAGTAGTGGAGGAACAGCCTTTGAAGAACTCCAGAGGAACCTGGTCAGTAGGAAAGCTGAGGAGATGCTCAGTATTAGTGCATGCACCATCTAACCTAGCCACACGCCTTCCCTGGATCTTACCACCCACTTGTTTTCAACTGTGCTCAACTTGCTATAGGTTGGATTTGAACCATTGGCGTAGAGATGAAATACTGCCTATGTATCCTGCTATTGATTTGTTGCCCAAAACTTTCTACAATCTTTAGTAGATCTATTTCTACTGCAAAAAATATAAAATTTTGAGTATACATATTCTTTGCATAATTCTTAAGTATAAATGTTTCTATTTTCAAAAAATGACTGTGGTTCATTCCTCTTTGTGGGGGGTGGGGTGTACATACGCACATACTTCTGTTGCAGATTTACAAATTAATATTTTTGTTAAATCCACTTCACTATTATAATTACAATACAAGGAAATTGTAGATTCTTTCTGCATAATATCACTAAGATATGGCCTATTCTATCCAGCCACACATCAAGTGCTTAAAGAGCACTATAAAAAGGGCGGGTGTCATGATCCCCACACCTGCCCATCGCCCTTTCCAGCGCTTAATTCTGACCCAAATGCCCAAATCAATCCTGTCCCTTCAGCCCTCCCATCTGTTCTGCCCCCTCCAGCCTCATCTCTGCTCCTCCTGCAGCCCCTGGATTTTTTCACACCCATCTTCTAGGCCTAGTGGGGGGTCTGCAGCAGGAACCCCTTCTGCCCCTTCCAAATGTGCACCCTGGAAGGGGGGCAGCTCCAAGAGTTCATCCCCCTTTGCCAGTCCCAAGCCTCATGTTGCAGAGAGAGAGAGGGGAGGAGCAGAGGAGCCATCCGTTCACAAGAGAGGCTGGGGAGGAGGGAGCGCAGCTGCTCTGAGCTGCTGTACTCTTTCTGCTCTTCCCCTCCTCCATCAGAATGGTGTGGGCTTTTGAGGGGAGGGGCAGAGAGCTCTGCCTGCTTTCTGCACCAGCTCTGATTCACTGCTGTACTCCTGGAGGTGGGCAAGTGGTGAAGGCATTCAGTCATAAGGGGTTTTTTCCAGGTTGTACTAAAAATGTGCACCCTTCAGCTACCCAGTTCATTTCTAGGAAATTTTATTTCCTGGGGCTGCAACCTGGAGCACTTTAAGCACTACACACAACTCAAACTCTCATCCAGGTTCTTATCATCTCACATCTCAGTTACTGCAGTGTCCTTTTCTTGCCCCACTCATACCCAGTCAGAATGCTTCTGCAGGGATCATTTTCCTAGCATGTTGCTTTAACATCACCATTCTCTTTGCTTCACTCTTCTGGCTCCCTCCTCTCTGTCACATCAAACAAGCTAGTTGTTTCCGCTTTCAGGACCCATCCCAACCTTGCCTATCATCTCTCATTCAATATCAAAAGATTGACTCACATCTCGTTTGGTTTATGATGACAGTCTCCATTGTCTGCTTGTTAAATGTTTAAACAAGCTCCTTCATGCTTTCTCCATGCAGTCCCTCATGCTTGACAGGAGCTCCCTGTAAACATCCATAGAGATACTTCATTATCCTCCTTCAAACCCCCCCCTTAAAACTCTCCTTTGCCAGGATGCCCACAAAAAACTGTTCAATGGTTCGGCTGTTGGCGTCCTGAGACCACAACCTGTCATGCTGACCAATATTGTCTCATTGTTTCCTTGTACTCCCCCATTTGTCAGTATACATCTGTTGTCTCTTGTCTTAAAATTAGCTTTTAAGGTCTTTGGGGCAGGGTCTGTCTTCTTGTTCTGTTTGTACAGAATCTAACACAATGGGGTCTGGGTCCATGTCTCCTAAATGCTATGATGATGATGATAATAAGAATTAATAATAAGATGAAAATTAGAAATTACATCCATTGTGAATAAGAATCATTGCAATCAAGAAATTGATTAAAATTCTTTATAGATGCTCATGATAAGAGTGCAATTTGTTAACAATTGCATTATTGTTATCATTTTTAACTGTAAGTAGCAATTATTTTTACACTGAGTAGTTTAATGACACATACACAGATATTTATATAAATCCTGGAGGTTACAACATGAGCAGGGAATTTTAGTGTTTCAGACTTCAGAATAGGGTTGAAAGCATTTATCAAACTTTTATAATGCTTCTTTTTTCTTGTGTTCTATTCTTCAGAGTACCCGAGTGGCCTTGGACCATCTAGAGTCCGTTCCTGAGAAACTGAGTCTTTTGGAAGATTTCAAAGATTTTGGAGTGAGAACGTTTTCACTTGTCTCTCAGTATTTCTGAATTGTTGAGAATAATTGACAACTTCCTGATGTGCAAAGAAAAATCTATTACCTAAAGGACATACAATGAAATCTAAACTACAGTATTCCAATTTTAACTCATATAGTAATAGTGGGGTTTATTTCCTACTCTTGGGGAATTAGTTGAAAATCGTGGAATTAGTTTAACTTTATACTGGTAAGGAAATACTGGAATAAAAACAGATTTAAAAATTTTATTAAAGCTAATGCTAAAAAATTTAATGTGTCTGTACATCTGGGTATAGTGCTTAGATTAGCCACAAATATAAAGTTAGTTTTTAAAAGTCATATAACTACATTATAAAACTTTCAGTTTAGGCAAGCCAAGATAATTGAGTAAACTATTTAAAGTGCTGTTGCTATAGACTTTACTGACTTGTTCAAAATATGTTGATGTGGTGCCTTTTTTATTAGTGATTATAACTTCTGCATCAATGATTGGAAAGAGGTAGGTTATTGTTTGATTTTTATATAGACATTACATCCTGCAGTTCCCCTGGCAGCGCTATTCATGATGAGGACTGCTGAGTGCCTGTGGTTTCACAGCCCAGGTCATTTATTGATAAGTCTGTGAAAACTACATCATGAACATGAAAGCTGTTTGAGTGTCAAGTTCATTCATTATGTTAGGTAGATACACCCTCATATATTGAGGGGGAAAATCAAGCACAAAGTTCAGTATGCCAAATTGATAAACATTGTCAGATCACCTTGAACATCAAATGCTATCATTACTTTCTATTAATGTATACTCCAGTGTTTAGGAGTGCAACTCTTACATGTAAAGTGCTTTCTTTGGAAGTCTACAATATGTGCTGCAGATCTTCCACATTCTGTTTGACAGTACCAAGGTTCAAGAATGACTTAGGTCACAAAGCCCCAATTCAGCAAAGGACTTAAGCATGTGCATAAGTTCCATAGAAGCTAATGAGCTTTGCAGAATCAGGTCCCAGTAGAATGAATGTAGTGGTCTAAATCTCTTCCTTAGACTGTTTGCAGCTTTGTGCTATTGGTTTTTCCTGCTTAGTGGTGTATTAACAGAGAGATTGTTGTGCATGATGAAGGGAGATGCATTAGTAATACAGAACAATGCAATTTAATGGCCAAATCCTGTTTGCTGTACTCAGACAAGTAGTCCCACTGATTTTAACAAGACTACTTTTGTGAGAGAGGTAAGCAGAATTTCACTTTACTTTATGTACTTCACTTCACTTTTTATCTCAGACAAAACATTTCCTAAAGCACTTTACAGAGTTAAATTGTAGCACAAAAGGGAGAGAGAAGAGAGTTTAGAAATTATACTTGAAGGTTGAAGAGCAATTGATAATTGATTAGCTGTAGCGATACGGAAAGGCTGAGTGGGGTTGTAATGCATACATGGTAACCTGCCATACAACTTGGGTTATAAATTCTTTGGCATGCACAGCCTTTGCCATCATCTTTTGCATGTGAAGCACTACACATCTTTATGGCACTGTAGGAATAATAATGGGTCAAATCATAAAGTCCTCCTTCAGATTTTACTCAATTACTTGATGATTTCAATAAGAATTTTGCTTGTGTAACGACTTTGGGATTTCAACAGATAACAACAACAATAATACAGTTAGCTCTTATTTAACCATCACCAGTAATAATTCACTTTAAACACTGCAGTTAAATCCATTCATCCCAGTTTTTAAAATATCTTCCTAACAGATCCAGAGAAATGAGTGGAAATAGCTGAGGTTTGCAGTAAATCTGCCTGTATAGTTTCTGGACTTGGTTTCTCACCTAATACCTACAAAAGTGTGTTTTTTTCACAGCATAGCTGTCAAATAAAGATATATGATTGTCTTGACTCATGGGGACATATTGACAGTGTTAGGAGAGATCCTGTCAAGGCTGGTAAGCCTACAATTAGATCTTTTGGGGCTTAATGGCTAAATTGCTGTGCTGTAATTCTTTTACATTCATGAGAGCCACACAAAATTAAGAAATTCTATACTGAAAGCCTGTTGTTATTTTCTAAAGGAGAGTTGGCAACCCAATAGCTCGCTCAAACTTTTAAATCAGAATTGTTTAAAACATCCATCAGTGAAAATGCATATTAATTTTCATTTATTTTCTATATAGAATCTTTCGTACTGAGAGATCCACGAGCACTGCACAAATTATGTGTATGGGAGACACTGTATTCTGGTCTTTAGAGCACAAGACTGTGAGTTAGGAGACCTTGGGGCTGATTCAGACTTCATCTTGGTTTTACATCAGTGTATGTCCATTGTCTTCAATGGAGCTCTGATTAGAGCTGGGTGAATAACTGATTTTTTGCTTCATTGGCAGTTCCCCCTCCTGATGTGGAAAAGGGATTTGAACTTGGGTTTCATGCATTGCAGGAGAGCACCCTAACCACTGAACTATGGGATATTCTGGTCTTTCTCAGTCTCTCCTGTTGAAGTTCTTCCACTTTTGATGAATAATTAACTAGCCATTGGAGTAGGGACTTGAACTAGGGTCTTCTATATCTTAGGGGAGTGTCCTAACCACCAAGCTATAGAGTAATTCTCACATTTTTTCATTGGCCCAATGACTATTCATTGTCATTCATAGTAGCAATTCATAGTATTTAATAATTGGTTTATAAAAAGTGGAACACCTTCAGTGGGAGGGAGGGAGGGAGAGACACACACCAGAATATCCCATAGCCTAATGGTTAGGGCTGTCTCTTGCAACTTGGGGCTACTCTAGTTAAAATGGAGGGGGAAATTGAACGTGGGGCCACATCCCACGTGATTGTACTAACCACTAGGCTAAAAATTGTGAAGAAGTGCACCAGTAACACCACAACCACGACCTCCTCTGGTAGTTTTGTGAATGGCAACTTACATCCCAAAAATATTTGGCAAATTCAAATCAAATTTACAAATAGTTTCGGTTCGACCCAAACTGTATTTTTTGGTGAATAAACTATTTGCTCAGAAAATTTTGCTCTAGCTCTATTTCTGATATACCTTAGCAAGAGTGAGATCAGCATCAGACTCCTGAGCGCTAATCCTGCAATGTGATTTTGGGCAAGAAACTGCACCTCTCTGTGCCTCACTTCCCTTATCTGTTAAGTTGAGCTGACGATACTTATCTCACAGAGGAGTTGGAGTGAGCAGCTGGCCCTGGGGTCAGCCACACTGGCCTCTGCAGAAGTCACAGAGATCGCGGAAAGTCACAGATCCGTGACTTCTGCAACCTCCATGATAGACAGGAGCCCTAATCATAATAGATGGACTTTAATTCAAGGAGAACTTCGGTTGAGTAAGATCATGGCATCTTTGTGTAGCCATTTTTCTGACCATAAATATCCACCCTTATTTCCCTGAGCCAACACCTCAAGAAAGAATGGTTACAAATACCAGATTTTTAAGAAAAAGCCTCACATATTTACTAAGAGTGCATTTTCCAAGACAGAGAAGTGCTCTCAAAGGGATATTTCTGCTGTACTACAACTTTATCAGATCCTACAAGCTAAGCAGTGTCAGTCCTGATTTGTATTTAAATAGAGACCTCCAAAGAACACCAAAGTATTGTAGTAAATGGTGGTGGTTGGTCTATATATGGTATTCTTCCTTCCATGTCAATCTGCTATGGATTGCAGATACATAATTTAGATCTGCAACTCAGGGTTCAGTTCATATCCAGACTTTTAGTTCCGGTCCATCTCTAATACTGTATATCTGTATAACACTGTGAAAACTTGCCACTTGGTACAATTTGAAGTACAAATTTCAAATTTGAATTTGGCAGCATTTGGTCCCTTATGCTGGATGTTTTTGATTATTTTATATAGGAAGACAAAATTATATTTATTAAATGTGAGTTCTGTCATGTTTCCTAATTGGTATGCCCATGTAGGTGGTGGTTGTCATTTAAATGCTTGAAAATTGTGCTTTTATTGAGTGTTTTCCTACATAAAGCCACACTAACTACCTGACTGCAGTATTATAGAGAGCTAGATTTTTATCCCTTTGCTGTGAAGGTAGGGTTTGATTTGAGGTTCTGTTAGTATTTCAGTTTGAAATGATACATTTGAAAATGATGCTTCCATACTATAGGGAAGAATATCTCTTCTAGATCCTGCTAAGTACAGCAGAGTCCTAGAATATTACAGCACACTTCCAGCAAATTTCACTTTGCTGTAGGATGAACAAGTTAAGCGCTTCCACACTGTTTTTCTCCTTCCAAGACTTATGTTAGTTGTCCCCCATATATCAGTGGTAGAGTGGGGTTGGGCAAAAGGAGGCACTTCTCTGTGTAATTATGATTCACAGCCTCTGTTGCACCCCACTACACTGACTCTTTTAGGTGGCGCATTGGCTAATTTATCACATCTGTGTTGCATTTTTTTTCATTTCCAAAACATTGTAAGATAGTACCCTCAGAACATCTTTCTTATTTATTTTTGTATTAAGGTAAAGTTACAATAAAACATTAACATACAACATTGTACTTTACTTATTCGGGATCAGGGTAATATTCAAGGAATTTGACTAAAGATTATGACTTGCTGGCTGGGGAGCCCTCCTCCTCTGAATAATCTAAAAAGGGTGACCACATTTCTAAATACCTATCCTCTTCTTGGAGCTTCTCTTGTGTACATACTGGCTGTGAAAGTTTTTCCATTACAAGGACACTCCAAATTTTACTATACCACAATTCCCTAGAATGAGAAGTCACATTTTTCCAATAATGTGCAATACAAAGTCTAACAATAAAAAAGAAATTAATTTGTTGTTCCATTTAAAATGTAGATCTTTACTGGAGTATTAAGTAAGCAGATATGGGGATCTCTAGGAAGCTGCCATTTTGTCATGAAGTGAATCTCTTTAATAATTTCCTCTCCAAACTGTCTAATTCCTGGACACAACCACCACATGTGCAAGTATGTTCCCTTTACCCCACAACCTTTCCAACAGAGCTCCTCCCTAGCTGCAAAAATATGATGGATCTTAACTGGAGTCATATGCGATCAGTACCGTAATTTATAAAAAAATTCTTTATGAGCTACACAAAGGCAGCTGTATCTAAATACTCCTAATTAATTTTGTTTTTCCCCCATGAAAGAAATATACTGAATTCCATGATATGATTTAGTTCTGGGGGGAAGTTGTAAAGAATCATTGATTAATCAATATTAATTAGCAAAGGGGAAAAAGCCTTTTATTTTTAAATTTGATTGCTTTCATCTTAACGTCAGGGTTCTGTAGAGAGCCTCTTACACCTTCATCACCAGCAAGGCAATAGGGGTCCTATATTTCTAGCCCTGAACGCCAGTATTTAATCAGCCCTTACTGTTTTGAATGTCTATTAGTGATACTCTTATTTACATGAGCAGACTAGGTTTCTTTCTTTAGCTACTCTCTCACCTTACAAACAAAACCAGTCAGACCTTTTTATGTGTTTCCAGGAATCTCATCGTCAGAGGGAGATAATTGAAGAGAGATACACTAAATACAAGGAAATTGTGGGCTCTCTGCAGCAGCAGCTGGAGGATTCAAAGAGCAGAATCAAAAACTTCAAAGTATGTCTGTCTCCTTTCTCTTGTGTCGTTCCCTCTTGCATTCAGTCACTAGCAGATGCGCATTTTATGGAGATTAGCTCAAGTTGCAGGCATTGACTAAAATCCTATATGAGCAATGTTTCTGCTTCGCTTATCAGGCCTTGCCTGCCAAGTGTGCAGCCAAATGGGCCCCAGCTCTGTCAGCATTTATTCCCTAGAAACACCCCATTGCACTTTTTCTATTTGCTTTCCTTCTGGTCCTCTAACTTAAAAGGTAAATTTAGAGACCTAATTTTCCCCAATTCCCCAAGTGAAAAGTACCCTCATCCCCTCTCTCAGCTACCAACCTCATCTACTTATAGCAAAGTGCTCATTCATCATGTCACTTCTCATTGGTTACACTGCTAATAGCAACTTCCTTTAACTGGAAATTGAGAATTTCTTGTGGCACAGGGTGGCAGGGCAGCTTCCTGCACCAGTCAAGAAGGAGTTAAAGAGCTCATGAATCTTTTAAGGATGGGTCCTTAAAAAGGGGGGATCCAGGTTCACGCTGGGTAGCATCTGGTAAAAACTGCACTAGAGCACAGAGCTCCCTGGTCCCAGGCAACAGGCTGTCTACTGAAAAAAATGCTTGAGAGCACCAGCCACACTGAACCCTCTGATGAAAAAGAGGGACCAGCTTTTCCTTACTTTTCTTTGTGAAGCTCTGGGATTCAGCCAGGGTTGTTTGGACATGCAAGGGATAAGGAGCCCAGATCTTCCTCCCAAGGACTATTGGCCTTTACCCTGCAGGAGGCTGCAGGGACCCGGCCCATTTGTGAGCCATGGACATCTTTGCCTTTTTCTTTTGGACTATTTTAGCCCTGACCAGAAGAGGGCAGACTCCCTAAGAGTTATGTATCCCAAGTACATAACCCAGACTACAGTCCTGCTGCCCTCCAAAGAAAGATATCCAAGACCAGAGAGGGGCACCCTGCCTTTAACCCAGCGGGCCGTCAGAGAGATACAACTTATCACACACAGAAACAGGCAACAGATGATGGCAAAGACCAAAATAAAACAAAAGGTCCTTACCAATATTCTCACAAAACAACAGAGACAAAGCGAAACTTGCTTTCTTTCAACTATTTTGCAGGCCAGTGTTCAAACTCTAGTCAAGTTTCCCATGCTTCTCTTGACCTGCTGCTCACAAACAGGGAAGAATTGGTAGGGGAAGCAGAAGTGGGTGGCAACCTGAGCAGCAGTGACCGTGAGATGGTCGAGTTCAGGATTCTGACAAAAGGAAGAAAGGAGACCAGCAGAATACAGACCCTGGACTTCAGAAAAGCAGACTTGGACTTCCTCAGGGGACTGATGGGTAGGATCCCAGGGGAGGCTAATATGAGGGGGAAAGGACTCCAGGAGAGCTGGCTGTATTTCAAATAAGCCTTATTGAGGGTGCAGGAACAAACCATCCTGATGTGTAGAAAGAATAGTAAATATGGCAGGTGACCAGCTTGGGTTAACAGAGAAATCTTCAGTGAGCTTAAACACAAAAAGGAACCTTACAAGAAGTGGAAATTTGGACAGATGACTAGGGAGGGGTATAAAAACATTGCTCGAGCATGCAGGGGTGTAATCGCGAAGGCCAAAGCACAATCGGAGTTGCAGCTAGCAAAGGATGTGAAAGGGAACAAGAAGGGTTTCTACGGGTATGTTAGCAACAAGAAGAGGGTCCGGGAAAGTGTGTGACCCTTACTGAATGGGGGAGGCAACCTAGTGGCAGATGATGTGGAAAAAGATTAAGTGCTCAATGCTTTTTTTGCTTCAGTCTTCACAGACAAGGTCAGCTCCCAGACTGCTGCACTGGGTAGCACAGTATGGGGAGGAAGTGAGCCGCCCTCAGTGGTGAAAGAACAGGTTAAGGACTGTTTAGTAAAGCTGGACATGCATAAGTCCCTGGGGCCGGGTGCAATACATCTGAGGGTGCAGAGGGAGTTGGCTGATATGATTGCAGAGCCATTGACCATTACCTTTGAAAACATGTGGTGATTAGGGGAGGTCCCGGATGATTGGAAAAAGGCAGCTATAATGCCAATCTTTAAAAAAGGGAAGAAGGAGATTCCAGGGAACTACAGACCGGTAATCCTCATCTTAGTCCCCGGAAAAATGATGCAGCAGGTCCTAAAGAAATCCATTTTGAAGCAGTTGGAGGAGAGGAAGGTGATCAGGAACAGTCAACATGGATTCACGAAGGGCAAGTCATGCCTGACCAACCTGATTTCGTTCTATGATGAGATAACTGGCTTTAGGGATAGGGAGGAAACGGTGGACATGATATATCTTGGCTTTAGCGAAGCTTTTGATACGGTCTCCCCCAGTATTCTTGCCAGCAAGTTAAAAAAGTATGGATTGGATGAATGGACTATAAGGTGGATAGAAAGCTGGGTAAATCGTCGGGCTCAACGGATAGTGATCAACAACTCTGTCTAGTTGGCAGCCGGTATAAAGCGGAGTGTCCCACGGGTTGGTCCTGGGGCCAATTTTGTTCAACATCTTCATTAATGATCTGGATGATGGGATGGATTGCACCCTCAGCAAGTTTGTGGATGACACTTAACTGGGGGTAGAGGTAGATATGCTGGAGGGTAGGGATAGGGTCCAGAGTGACCTAGACAAATTAGAGGATTGGGCTAAAAGAAATCTGATGAGGTTCAACAAGGGCAAGTGCAGAGTCCTGCACTTAGGATGCAAGAATCCCATGCACTGCTACAGGCTGGGGACCGACTGGCTAAGAAGCAGTTCTGCAGAAAAGGACCTGGGGATTACAGTGGACAAGAAGCTGGATATGAGTCAACAGTGTGCCCTTTTTGCCACAAAGGCTAATGGCATATTGGGCTGCATTAGTAGGAGAGTTGCCAGCAGATTGAGGAAAGTGATTATTTCCCTCTATTCGGCACTGGTGAGGCCACATCTGGAGTATTGCATCCAGTTTGGGGCCCCCCACTACAGAAAGGATGTGGACAAATTGGAGAGAGTCCAGCGGAGGGCAACGAAAATGATTAGGGGGTTGGGGTACATGACTTCCGAGGAGAGGCTGAGGCAACTGAGCTTATTTAGTCTGCAAAAGAGAAGAGTGAGGGGGGATTTGATAGCAACCTTCAACTACCTGAAGGGGGGTTCCAAAGAGGATGGAGCTAGGCTGTTCTCAGTGGTGGCAGATGACAGAACAAGGGGCAGTGATCTCAAGTTGCAGTGGGGAAGGTCTAGGTTGGATATTGGGAAAAACTATTTCATTAGGAGGGTGGTGAAGCACTAGAATGGGTTACCTAGGGAGGTGGTGGAATCTCCATCTTTAAAGGTTTTTAAGGCCCAGCTTGACAAAGCCCTGGCTGTGATGATTTAGTTGGTGTTGGTCCTGCTCTGAGCAGGGGGTTGGACTAGATGACCTCCTAAGGTCTCTTCCAACCCTATTCTTCTATGATTCTATGAAGACTCCAAGCTATGTTCAATGATTTAGTTTTATTTGGGGGGCTTTGTTTTGTTTTGGGGTCATATGTAATGTCTACAGATTCTGAGCTCATAAGCGTGGAATTATTGATCTATTTCCTCTGGCAGAGAAATAAGAGAGGTGTCCTGGGCATTGACATCCAGCTGACAGTGTATCTATAGTAAGAAGCCCATGACTTCTCTGACATGTCCAAGCTATACTTCTATAGGGAAGGACTAACAGAAAGTGTGCAAAGACAGCATCCATTTCAGTTCAAGTGCTGGAGTTAACCTTCCCCCACTTCTCATGTCCCTCCACAGCAGTTGCCATCAGCAATTACCAGATTTGGAAACCTGTTGAAATGCTGGCTGGCAGCAAGGCCTGCATCAGCTGAGAGTATAATGCAATATTGCACTAAGCTGACCGAGCTCACTGTGCTGGCTTGATCTGAATTTATATTAAGAACCCAATACTTGGCTTATTCCAAAATAATAATTTCCCCTTTCTTTAGACAACAGGAAACATTTCCTGGCTTCCCTTTAGTCAGGCCTAATTTGTTTTTTGCACAATATATAGTCATCTTTGCTGTCACAGCTGTTGCAAATAGAACGGAATGTTCAAAAGCAGGTAACAGAAGGGTGCTAATCTGATTTCAGTGATCAGCCTGGCTTAGTTCAAGAAATCCCTCTTTATTGCTTGCATTTCTTACCCTGCACTGAATTGTCTTATCTGCCTCAAATACACTATTGTTTTGCTTCGTTATGTTACTGTTACCATTTATCATTAGCTATTCTATCACTCAGCCTTATGGAAGAGAGCGCGATCTAGAGAGATCAAAGTTCCTGCTTGCTAACTGTTTCAATTCACACTTTATATACAGTGCACTACACTCACTGTATAAAGTAGCCAAGTATTTGGTAAGTGATAAGGAAGTGTATTTTAAAAGGGAGTTTTTATAAAGAGCTTCTGTGGTGTGCAGTAGCCTCATATTAACCTTTTTACATACAGCTTCTTGCCTCAGTCAGCCTCCCTCCTCCTGTATGACCTTTAAGCCCTTCCTTACCGAATGTGCTTCTTTCAGCTTGCTTTCTGACATTAATCTCACAGAAGGCACTATTTGGTCTCACTTTTGGACCTGATTATTTTATTTTAAGCAACAAAAATAAAAACAAACACAAACCAGAAGGTGCATGATCACTCTTTGTAGATTGCTATTCCAAGATCAATTTTGCCCCATCCCTTTGTTTTCAGTTGGCTCCTCTCCTTCTCACCTCCCTCCCATACTCTGTAATTTCATCTATTGAATTTAGGCTCATGACAGGCTGTAAAAAACCCGGTTGCTTAGAAGATCAGGACAAGTTATAAGTGCTATCTGGACAGGTAAAAATGTCAGATTTCCTGCAATGGGGGAGGTGGGGAGTGGGGTGAGTAAAAATAAGCATAGTACTGAACTGTCAGTCGGGGGGGCTGAAAGATAGTGGAGAAAAGAGAACTGAGGGTAGGGGAAGGGAGCAGGAGGAAGGGTAGAACACAGTAATAGAACTGATAATAAAACAATGTGTAGAATAACAAAATGAAATAAGAGAGAGAAAATTCACAGTGATGGGCACTATGCTACATAGAACTGAACATTTTAAGAAAAGTTCCCTGCCCTGAACAGCTTACAACCTAAATATGCAAACAACGACAACAGCAAAAAGCAAAACCATGAAGGGTGTGGGAAAAGGGTGTAACAGAGAAGCTGCCAACTGTGCAAATGGAGAGGCTTGTTGCAATGTAGAGATTGCAGGTGAAGTATTCACCTCAAGTACTGCTTGTTAATAGGTCTGTTTTAAGATTGGATTTTTGGAGGGAGCGAAGATGAAGGAAGAACAGCTTTACAGTTCCATATTCAGGAAAAAATCCTGAAATTTGTTTTTTCTTTTTAAGGTTATTACTATAGGATGTATAGTCTAGGTACCAAGTCCCTCACTGACACACAAGGGGATTAATATGTGTAATTCCCATTAGTATTAATAGGAGCAAATCCCCTGTACATTAATGGGACAAAAACTCCCTTTTAGTCTCTAAATTAATGCTGGGGGGGAGGCTGTTTCCAAAGTGTAATACTACTAAGAATGATAAATTGCAGGATGCTTTTAAGAAAATCCCCTGATGCTTTTTATGAGGAAATTGAGTAGCAAAGTGTAGTATTCCATGAACCAATACATATGAGTGTTATCATCCCTTCTCATCTGAAGAAATAAAGTAATTAGAAACTAAGCCAACCTGTTAATCTTGTTTTGGAGAGCAATATATCTAAAGACCCCTTGCTTCAATGCTAAAACACATTTCCAGATATTTTTGGTTAAATTGCATTGTTTAAATGTTCTACTCTAGCCTCTAGACCAAGTGCCTCCTCTCAACAAAGTAATATGTTGTATGCACATATCCAGATGCTCTTTACAATATAAATAAGAACAGCATATATGGTATTTTACTTTATTTTAAAATTGGGAGGAAAAATGGAAAAGCAATTTCAGGTTTTCATAGGTGAAATATCAAACCTGTATTTAAAGTTTTGGATTTAATTAATGGAAGGGGAAAATGGATTTGAGTTTTGCAGTTACTTAGATTTCTTGTTGGAACAAGTTGATGTGGATCAGTGTTCAGTTGTGCCATCAATGCTTGCATGCTCTGTCCTTCTGTTTCATTCTGGGATCTAGATGTGATTATACAGGAAAGGAAACATGCCACATTTATACAGCTCGTTATAGTGGCAAGAAATGGCCAAGCTCCCTGGGCAAAGCAGGGAAAGTAGCTTCTTTCTAGGACTTCTGAATGTTGACAAGGGCAAGAAATTTGGGACAAAAATCAGATGTAAACCTAACTACAAGATTTATGTTCTGGGGATTGGAATCAGCGTTTATCAGTTTCATGCTAAAAAATACCATCTCCGTGTATAACTAAACTGGAGGCAGTTTTTAATCTCAGTAAATAAGGAGATATATAACTTAAGTAATGCAAATTTTTCACAGAAAGCATGTTCATTGCCTTTCTTAGGATGAGAAAATGGATGCTGATGTTTCTGACATAGAAGCGGCAACTCTCTCCTCCAACTGGCGGACTAAAACCAGCTTTATGTCTAGCTCACTGCTTTCAGATTCAGGCTGTAAGTATTGTTATTTATTAGGAAAACTCCACAACACAATTGGGTATCCTCTGCTTTTAAAACTATTTTAGTGGAATGACAGAGGCCCCATTGAAATCATCATAGGATTCTTGCTGGCTTTCAGCTTCAGGCACTGAATTTATTGCTTTACCTAGTTAGTGCTATGTCACATTGGGATTTTTTCCATTTGGAAATACTGCATTTTGTCAGCAAAGTCCAGAAGAAAGAAAATTACATGCATTGTAATATGAATCCTGGCAGTGGGAACCTTAGATTTAAAAGACACTGCATTTTCAGGTCACATGCAGATACCCAACCAAAGCACCCCCTACGAATTCCTATTAATTATTCTGTCTGACATTCGTGCCAGTGGAGTGTAACAGCAGAAGCAGAATTCCCTGTCCATTACCTCCTTTTTTGGAAAGTTGCTGTTTGGTTGCAACTTCCAGCCCATGAGTTTATGTATAACAGGTCACAAGAGGCTGCGGCAGTCTCTCAAAGAGGAAGTGATGTGATGAATGGGAGACTCTGAAGGGATGATGAGTTCCAACTCTGATGAAGTTGATTCTTTTCTGAACACTACTAAACCATCTCTGCCACAACTGACTTACAAAAATACCTCTGAAGAGATTATTTGGTCTCTGGAACAGGCCAGTTTGCAGCAGGCATCAGTATTTTTTTTTTTTTTAAACTGGAGAATGATACCCCTACAATTTTGTCACACACACACCCAAATAATTTCAACATATACAGGTTGAATGCTGTATTATACATTTGAAGCATTGTACTCCGTATTTTTCTGAAACAGTGTCAGAGTTCAGTGCTACCTGCACATTTCATCCCTCTTTGGTCTCTCTGAGTGCCCCCATACAGGTGACAGGCCTTGAGTCCTCACCTCCTCACTGTGGAATCCTGTGGTTCTGTCACTCTTTAAACTGTCTCACAAGGGTGCCACACTCTGTACCAACTATGATTGCTCAGCAGAGCCAGTGAATTTGGCTACCTTGGTTCTTCCCTTCTGAGCTATGACCAATGGTAAATAGTTACCCAGAACAACCTTTTCAAAACCAAGTATTGTTTAACCACAACAGTAGATACACAGCATGTCATGACAAAAGGTTTTGAAACACAATAAGAGGTCTACACATACATCAGTTTTCCCTATAGGCTTAGGTAGGCAAGCTTATCCCAGATACCCCAACCTCTGGGGACTTGAAGTTCAGTCTGCTCCCCAGAGGAGTTATTTAAGTTAAGTTAAGCACCGTGAACACAAGAATAAATGACTATAAACTGACCATCAACAGGTTTAGGCTCAAAATTAAGTGATAGTTTCCAACCATCAAAGGAATGAAATTCTGGAATAGCCTTCCAAGGGGAGCAGTGGGGGCAAAAAACCTAACTGGCCTTAAAGACTGAACTTGATAAGTTGATGGAGGGGATGGTACTACCTACCGTGGTATATGGCCCATCGGTGACTGCCAGTAGCAAAATCCCCAACAGACGGAGATGAGACACTAGATGGGGAGGGCTCTGAGTTACTACAGAGAATTCCTTCCCAGGTATCTGCCTGGAGGGTCTTGCCGACATGCTCAGAGTCCAACTGATCACCATATTTGGAGTCGTAAAGGAATTTTCCCCCAAGTCAAATTGACAGAGACCCTGAAGGGGGGGGGGGTTCATCTTTCTCTGTAGCATGGTGCACAGGTCATTTGCAGGTTTAAAATAGTGTAAATGGTGAATTCTCTAACTTGAAGTCTTTAAACCATGATTGGAGGACTTCAGTAACTCAGCCAGAGGTTAGGGGTCTATTACAGAAGTGGGTGGGTGAGGTTCTGTGGCCTGCAATGTGCAGGAGGTCAGACTAGGTGATCACGATGGTCCTTTCTGACCTTAAAGTCTATGAGGTAAAATTTAAAAGGTAAATGACCCGATATTATCTTTTAAATACCAGCAAGTGGAGCTTTCTGAAGCTATTGTTCTCTTTCCTGCACATGTGCAAATAACCCCTGCCTGAATTAACCTCTTGCAATCCTATAGCAAAAAACATACAACACCAATCAACCACAATATATAATATTCATATACGATTACAGGCATCCCCATGTCCTTCACACAGAGTAAAGATATTCTCTATGAGTGGCATTTATAGGAGTTTATTAGCCAAGTAATTTTTACCTACTTCAGCAGTTGTGGTTCTGAGAAACAATTTTGGAAAGTAAACAAATAGATTTGCCAATCCTTTATTCTTCCTCTCTGACCCAAGACAGGGCTTCTTGCAGACTAATATAAAAACAATGTTTTGGTTGGAACCCTTTGTTAAAATATTGGCAGACCGAAGGTTGCCAGACCCTGAGTGAGGATTACCGGCAGGCAGAAAGTGATGAGGGGGATGGGAAACAATTTTATATTCCATCCCTCTGTGTGTGGGGTGGTGGTAAGATAGCTATATAGAGAGGGAACTGGATTGCATTCATTTATGTTACCTGACAAAGGGCCTTGCAAAACTATGGGCCATCTCTGATCCTGTAAAGTGATAATTAGTACTTCCATAGCAATCTTCATTTTTATAGCACTTCACAAACTATATTGATTGCATAGTGTATGGGATTATCATCGTCGTTTCATCATACTTCTTCTGTTACAGTCCTTGGTTATGAATCTTTGACAGTCACTCTTAATTTAGTATCAATCAGATGAAACACTATAACATACTTCTGTGAAACCCTACAGAAAATCTACCAATTTATTCTGCCTTGGTCTGCTGCTTCAGCACATCTGAGCTCTTATACCTACACAGCACAAGGAATTTCACCACAGAATCAGAGGAGATACTCTTTTTTTTAAGGTGGAAGTCCTGACACAATCTGTCTTGCAGTGCAATCTAGTAACTATCTCAATGTTGTAACTGAAATCAGTATATTTGAAAATGTAGACAAAAATCCAAAAATATTTATAATAAATTTACATTTGTATTCTATTATTGTTTAAGAATGCAATTAAAACTCTGATTAATCAAAACTAGTTTTAATGTACTTAATTTGTTTTGCATTAATCACTTGAGTTAACTGTGATTAATTGACAGCCCTACTTTGTAGTGATGGGGTAAATACAAATGTGGAGTCTTTGTTTGTGTATTATTACATCTATCCTTGATTAAATATGATTTTCTTCCAAATAAGAACTGAAAACACAATTAGCAACTATCATTTTTATAACATTCATGGATTTCTGTATGGGAAGTAGCAGTGAGCTACATGATTCAGGGGACATACTTGAATCATACCTGAAAAGGGGCCATATCAAAATATCACAACCACATGAGGCAAAGAGCAAAAAATTGAATGGGTCCTAGAAATGGAATTCTTCTTCAAGCATTAGAGGAGTGGTTCCACCAGGGTAGAGCAAAATGCTGGAGTAGAGTAACGTGGAGTAAGCTTGAATGGCCACTCCCTATGATGCACCTGTTCTTTGGCTGAACAGTGTAATTCATTTTCTAGAGCTAATCAGAAACCTTTCAGCAGAACTAAACTCTCTGGAGGAAAAAAAAAAAGCGGCTGCTTGATAAGAGCATTGATCCCACTGTAATCATTATGGTATATATGCATTCAACATCATATGGGGAAAGTTCCTTTCTAAGAATATAAATGTGGCTGAACGATTGCTGCTTACTTAGTTTTTCTTAACTTTTATAATTGGTTGGGAAGGCGTTTCCCATATTGTCATTTTGGCTAACCCATCCTCATAGGTCTGGTGGTAATCCTCTCATGAACCTGTCCAGCACTATGATTTCTATCATCTTCTCCATGCCGTTGATCTCTGGGCACAGCCACTTCCGTGTTAGATGGATCAGGTCGAATAATTGTGACCTCAGCACTTTGCCGTCCTGGTACCTCCACTCATAGAACCTCTGGGCCCTTATAGCTGTCGTCACCCCAGATCTCGCCAGTATCTCTGCCTTCAACTGGGGGTAATCTGTGGCTGCTTCTGCTGCTATGTCATAGTAGGCCTTCTGGGCTTCCCCACACAGGAAAGGGGCAAGGATGCTGGCCCACTGGTCTTGGGGCCAGGCCTCATGTAGAGCCTCTCTCTCAAAGGCCTCCATATCATCTTCCACCGTCATCTTTTGCAGGTAACTCCTGGCCCTTAGGGGTCGCATCTCATTAAGGCCATGTGTCAGAGTGGTCAGGGCCTTCAGCTGGCTCACGACCTCCTGCAGGGTGGCTCGATCCTGGGCTGCCTGGGAGGGGAAGGATAGCTCAGTGGTTTGAGCATTGGCCTGCTAAACCCAGAGGTGTGAGTTCAATCCTTGAGGGGGCCATTTAGGGATCTGGGGCAAAAATCTGTCTGGGGATTGGTCCTGCTTTGAGTAGGGGGTTGGACTAGATGACCTCCTGGGGTCCCTTCCAACCCTGACATTCTGTGATCAGCATCTGATTAGTTTCCTGTTGCAGTCGTACCGACTCCTGTTGGGTGGTCAATTGAGCCCTGGTAGCCTCTTGTGCTGCTGTGGCCTGCACCAGTGCCCTCACTACATTGTCCGTTTTGGGGCAGGGGAGGTGATTTACCTTGCCCTGGGATGGTTCTCAGTGCCAGTGCAATGCCACTCCTGACACCACGTGTGGCAAGGCACCCCTTCTGCCTCGCCAGACTTAACGCTCCCTCCTCTGGCCTGGGATAAATCAGCGCCACTCTGGAGTGGGTCTTTCTTCCCTTTTTGGCGTTTGTTTCTCAGAGCCTTCCCAGTAGGTCTCGGGGCAGGCCTAAGGAGTACTCTTTCCCTGGCCCCCTCACTGGAGCAGCTGTTGTCCTGTTGCTGGCCCAGGGTGTCAGTCCTTCCCCTAAACAGGCACTGGGTTTGGGTGTCTCCCACACTGGAGAAGCCTATCTCCCTGCTGCCGCCAGCCTTGCAGCAGTTTGTCCGCCACCCACTAGGAGAGATGTTTTAACAGGTTTCAGGCAGCCCTTAATTGGACTCAGGTGTCCCTAACTGACCTGAAGTAACCCCTTCCCAGCTTGTCGGAAAAAGGGCCTTTAGCATTCTAGGGCTAACATACCTGTTTTCCCAGACCCTCTTGCAGCCGTCCGGCCTGACTTTGTCACAGTCCTTGTTTTTAAAAACCTGAGATGACGTGGAGGACTTTTCTTGTTGCCTATATGGTAAAGAATTACCAATAAAAATCTTGTCTCAGATTTTCTTGTTTCTTTATTCTTAATGGAAAGGAATTGAATACAAAATCTTTTCAAAGTTTTAGTTTCTCTTGCCTATTCTGTAGGAGTCTTTAAGTCAGGTTTTTAAGGCTCTGTAAGGAGAAAGGCTTTAGAATCTTTGTTTTGTGCTCTTTTGTGCTAGTTGATTCTGAAGGAATACACAGTTTTTATTCACATGATTAGGTTTTTTAATTTCTCAGTGTACTGATTGCTTACCCTCTTAATAGTAGCTGCTATTGTGATGGTCTTTACCTTCGTCAAGAAAATGAGTTTCCTCCAAAACCATTAGTATCTCTTTCCAAACTTGATGTGTCACTTATATGGTGAGCCTAATCTCCATCAATCAGAGAACTGAAGGTCCTATGTTATTTCCAGAATTTTTGAGGACTGTGAAATATTATGGCAGCAATTCACATAACCAACTCTTCTTGCCATCACTAAGACTAAGGATACGTCTATACCCAGCCGCTAGTTCGGCAGCTGGCAATCGAACTTCTGGGTTCGACTTATCGCGTCTTGTCTGGACGCGATAAGTCGAACCCGGAAGTGCTCGCCGTCGACTGCGGTACTCCAGCTCAGTGAGAGGAGTACCGCGGAGTCGACGGGGGAGCCTGCCTGCCGCGTGTGGACCGAGGTAAGTTCGAACTAAGGTACTTCGAACTTCAGCTACGTTATTCACGTAGCTGAAGTTGCGTACCTTAGTTCGATTTGGGGGTTTAGTGTAGACCAAGCCTAAGATTATGTCACGGAATCTGTGACTTCCAGTGATCTCCATGACATTGGGGATCTCCACGGATGGCAGGGGACCCTCCCACAGCTGCGGGCAGTGAGACCCCCACAACTGACCAGCTGCCACTGGTGACCCCTGAGCTGCCCAGCTGCCGCTGCTGGAAGGAGTCCCCCCTGCAGTGGCTCAGCCACTTAGAGTAGCCAGAGCCCCCCGGCAGCTTCCAGCTACCAACAGCAGAGGGACCCCGAAGCTGCTCAGCGGCCACGGGTCGGCGGGCCCCCGCAGCTCCTCAGCCGCCCTGCAGTTGCTCAGTTGACGCGAGCAGAGCCTCCTCTCCCCCCGCAGCTACCCAGACTCCACTGCTGGCAGCCATCTCCCCCCCCTCCCCGCAACTCCCAGCCCCGCAGGGTGTTGGGGACTCCTCCCAGGCACTGGGGTCACTGCAGCTCCTAGCCACTGCAGCAGGGACAGGGTGCTGGATCCTCTTCCATCCCCATTTTGTCAGGGATGTTTTTATTAATTTTTGTTTATTGCCCATGATCTGTCCATGACAAAATCGTGGGCTTAGCCATCACCATTGAAAGGCAGGTAGTAAATCAATCATTTGAATGACCTCAGTGGCATACGCAGCTCCATGCACTTTTAATTTCAAGCAGTGATATTTATCAGCACTAATTTAAGGCTTTGACAATCATATCTGATCTTCTTTTCCTGAGCCCCAGGGTATTTAATAAAATCGACAATGAGTCTCTCTTACTTTGTGTGACAAAGTTCCTCCTCTATCTTGGTGGGTCCTGCGCTTATTGGCAGATTTTCTTGCCTCAGAGATTCACCATGTGGGTTGGGGAACAGCCCAGAGGCCTTCCCCTCTGGAAGAACCCACAGTCCAGGTCAATTGGGAGGTTTGGGGGGAACCCAGGCCCACCCTCTACTCTGGGTTCCAGCCTAGGGCCCTGTGGACTGCAGCTGTCTATAGTGCCTCCTGTAACAGCTGCATGATAGCTACAACTCCCTGGGCTACTTCCCCATGGCCTCCTCCAAACACCTTCCTTATTCTCACCACAGGACCTTCCTCCTGGTATCTGATAACACTTGTGCTCCTCAGTCCTCCAGCAGCACACCCTCTCACTCTCAGCTCCTCACACTCCCACCACAAACTGAAGTGAGCTCGTTTTTAAAACCCAGGTGCCCTGATTAGCGGGCCTTAATTGATTCTAGCAGCTTCTTCTTAATTGGCTCCAGGTGTCCTAATTAGCCTGCCTGCCTTAACTGGTTCTAGCAGGTTCCTGATTACTCTAGTGCAGCCCCTGCTCTGGTCACTCAGGGAACAGAAAACTATTCATCCAGTGACCAGTATATTTGCCCTCTACCAGACTCCTGTACCCCCACTGGTTTGGTCTGTCACATTTGTCACTCATTACCTGTGGCTAATTTATCTCCTTGCTTGTTCAGAAACAGAAGACTAGACTTGAGCCATTTGAACCAATAATATTTTTGCTCAGTCACTTGCAGTAGCTGTGTGCTAGACCTTATAATGTTATATTTTTCTCCCTATATTCTGATGAAAGTTTTCAGATTAACAACGTGAGAACTGAGGTCTTCTACAGAACAAAAACAGTATAGCCAGTAGCACTACAAGCTTCCCCTATGTTTCCCTGCCAGTGTGGTTCAGCCCTGACTTGGAGAGATCATTGTAGGGTAGAAGAGAAGACAATTTTGATATAATTTAGAAATGAAGGTGACTCTGGAATTAAACCTTGATCTATGTAAAATTGTTAGAGAGAAAGAGAAGAAAATAAATGATAAAAAATAAATAAACTGCAATCTGTGTATTTATAGAGATATTTAGTATGGAGATGCTAATTACAGCAGTCAATGAAAGGGATAGCAATTAGTCATCTGCTTCATGTCTGGTCTTCATGTTTTTGTTATAATTTCTACAATTACAATATCTTTTCCATAA